AAGGCGCACAGTGTCTTTAATGGTGTCGATCCATTATTTTCGTCGCGGTCCTCTTGCTTTTGTAGTTGATCTTCTGAAATGTAATGCTTGTGCTAGTATTTGATCTTGCTGCATTCTAGCTATAAGGCCAAACCACTTGACCTGCTCTTTCTCTCTGAATCTAGTGCAAGGAGTCATTCCCACAATCTGTATGATAGTATCATTCCTTGTTGACTCGATCTCGGGTGGTTAGTTTGGCGGCTTCTCTTAGGCATCTCATCTCGCAAGTGGTGATTTTGCGTACATGGGCTTTAGACAGTATCCTTGTTTGGCACTGGTAGCTTAATGTTGGAACTTTGAGCAAGCAACTTCCAAATACTCAGTAAAACAATCGTCCAACAATAAACAAAAATAATGTAACACACCGGGGTAGGTGGTATTACTTTGGGGGAAAAGTATGGGGATGTGTGGCGGTAGACTAGAGATATCTAGATGGGGTGGGGCAAAGGACAGAGTCATTCAGGAATTAAATCAGAAGAAGAAGAGGGATGGGTAATATAAATAAGTTAGGTGATGACTAGGGGGGGGGGGTTGATGGATGGATGTGTGGGTGGATGCATGTGTGGTGGATGGATGTGTTGGTCGATGAATGTGTTTGTGGATGAATGTGTGGGTAAGTAGATGTGTGGATGGATGGATGTGTGGATGAGTGGGTGGATGTATGTGTACGTGGACGGGTTGATGTGTTTGTGGATGGATGGATGTCTAGGTAGATGGATGTGTGGGTGTATGTGTGTGTGAATCGATGGGTGATGAACGGAGGTGTGCATGGATTTTAGAGGTTTGGTGTATGAATGGAGGTGTGCTTGGGCGGAAGACTGGATGTGTGGTGGATGACTGAAGGTGTGGTGGATGACTGGAGGTGTGGTGGATGATTGAAGGTGTGGTGGATGACTGGAGGTGTGGTGGATGACTAGAGGTGTGGTGGATGACTGGAGGTGTGGTGGGTGACTGGGGGTGTGGTGGATGACTGGAGGTGTGGTGGATGACTGGAGGTGTGCAGGGTGGATGGATGGATGTGTGGGTGGATGAATGCAGGTGTGGTGGATGGGTGGAGGTTTGGAATAGAGGTGTGCTGGATAAATGGAGGTGTGGTGGATTGATGGATGTGTGGGTGGATGGGGATTGAAGAATGCATGGGTGAGAAAAAAAAAGAATGAATAAACTGAAGGTTGTTTAATAAAAGAACATTTCAACGGTTGAATGGGAATGTTAAAGCAGTGGTAACATTAAACTGTTAAACTGCCAACGATGGATGCAGTGACATTTGATAAGTGTTAACTGAGTGAGGAACAGATAACAAGAATTCAAGAGTAAAAGACAGACAAAAGAACGGACTGACAGAAGTACTGTAGAAAGTATGGAGAGACATAAGTCCAGACCAACTGCCAGATCTGCAATAGATAAATGATGACGGGACTTCACCTAACTTGTTCAACCACACCCTTGGTTTTTTTAAAAAAAAGGTAAAGGTCCCTTTTCCACGCCTTTAGGCGTATAGGGCACATAGGGCTATACCTATATTTTTATAGACCAGTCGGCACAAGATGGGTGATGTGGTTAGCATTACGCCTGCCGCGTTTACTTCCATGGACTGCACCTGGTACCTACTCAAGGCTGGGTCGACCTGGGAGTCAAGGTCATTTTTGAAGAAAAAAGTCCGGCTATGCCAGGGAGCGAACCTACGACCTTCTGATCCGCACGCGAGCGTCTAGCCGCTACGCCACCGCGACTCCTACCCTCTTTATGGTGCAGTGGCAGAGCAGTTTTCAAGAAGTCTCTCTCTCTCTCTCTTTTTCTCTCTCTTTTTCTCTCTCTCTATCTCTCTCTCTCTTTCTTTCTCTCTCTCTCTCTCTCTTTCTTTCTCTCTCTCTCCCTCTCTCTCTCTCTCTCTCTCTCTCTCTCTCTCTCTCTCTCTCTCTCTCATTTTGATCCTTTTTCACCTTGCAGTGTCTAGGCGAAGTATAATTTACAGGAAAATGATTGTTTTTGCGCTTCGTCAATGGGTATTCCCAGGGACTCTATTTTGTGCATCTGTCCATGGTTTGCATGGTAGGCCTCTTCTTCGCGTCCTGTCTAGTATGTACATCATTGCTTGCCTCGGTATACTGTTTGTTGGCATGCGCCTTATATGGCCAAACCATTTCACTTGTTTTGCTTTTCTTAAAATAAAATTCAGACCCAAGGAATCGCTACAAACAAATGAACAAACCATGTCGTTTATCCAGATTGTGAGTAAGTCAACTCTCCCACCTTGGAATTAGATCTGCTCGAAGATAATGGCTAATTAGTATGCAACGTCTCGTTTAAATATTCATTATACTTTAACCCCGGTTTCAGTCACCAAGAGCGAGTCTCCCCATCCCCTTACTCCCTCCCTCCCCCCCCCCCCCTCCTCTTCATTGCCAAATTCAACGTCTGCATTAAGCTTTCATTTAAATGTTTCACTTGAGAATTAAATCCGGCTGCAGTCTATTAGCCGAGCGTCTGCTTCTAGTGCAGGTCCCGACGCCATTAATCGAGAAACGGTTCCATTCTGAGAGAGAAAACATGTTTCAAATATTCATTCTCTCTCCAGTGTGAAAGCTCCACACTTCATCACTTTGCCAACACCAAAGTATTTTAGGCCAGGAGATATTTATAGATTGTGGATATTAGCTGGAATAAAGTGCGCATGTTTGCCGGACTGTTTTTGTTTTCTTCAAAACTGTGACATTTGTTTGTTTTGCTGAAGGAGTTTTGAGGAGATTCTGTTTTTTGGAGATGCTCTGTTTCATAGTGCATGGCAGAATGTTGTATTCCTTAGTTTACGCTTTGAAATGTTCAGTGCACATCAGCTTTGATGGCATGTTTCTTGCACATCAACTTTGATGGCATGTTTCTTGCACATCAACTTTGAAGTCCTGTTTCTTTAAAAATGGTTAGATGTTGTGTCACTTGTTGACTTCATTGGACATCAACTTTGATATTTGTTCTTTTGGACATTAGCTAAGGTGATATGTTCCTTGGACATCAACTTTGATATTTGTTCTTGTGGACATTAGCTAAGGTGATATGTTCCTTGGACATCAACTTTGATATTTGTTCTTGTGGACATTAGCTAAAATGGTGTGTTCCTTAAACGTCAACTTTAATATTTGTTCTTTTGGACATTAGCTAAGGTGATATGTTCCTTGGACATCAACTTTGATATTTGTTCTTGTTGACATTAGCTAAGGTGATATGTTCCTTGGACATCAGCATTGAAGAGCGTTCCCTCAGTGACGACTGATTGTGTGTTCCTTGTTTGAAGACTTGATGCTGTGTTCCTTGATTTACGGTTTAAATGTTCCTTTGACATTGATACTGCTGTTGTGTTTCTTGGACAACAACAGCTTTAATTATACGTTGCTTTGATAAGGACGATGTTTGGTTTTGTTGTTGTGGATTGAAGCCACCTGTGATAAGAAAATCTGGCCTCTCTCCGTCGAAATACACTCTGTTTAATGACACTTTTCTGCGACTACACTACCACTAGCTACTGATTCCAGAGGCATGTCTCTAACGCTGTTGCTAATGGTGAGTAGTTCTGTTACCTCACATTTCCTGTTTGTTAACCGGCGTCCGGGGCTTAGTCCGACCCCTAATTCAAACGTACCGCGATCGAAACCCACTGCTGGCTGCGTGGATTTTTATCATGTTATGGGGCGTCGCAGGCCGACCCAGCATAAATTATGTACCAGGATAGCTGTCCTAGGGAAGTAAAAACGGCTGGCGTAATGATGACCACAGAACACAACTAGTGCCGATTTGTCTGTAAAATATGGGAGCTCTTCCCATATACCCGATGCCCCTATAGCGTGAAAATGGATCTTTACTTTATTTACTTAAATAGCATTCAATGTTGCAAAAGTGGTAACCCGTCTTAGTATGCTAGATAATTGCAGACATTTATTTGAGACACCAGTTTTAGACTAGAGCTGCAGACATAAATCTTCGACTCAAATTTGTGTCAAATTTAAGACAACAAATTTAGACAGGAAACGTAAACTAGAATTTTAGCCGTCGATTTTAGACAACAGTTTTAGACAGCATTTTAAACATCACATAACATGAACAGGAGATACATCATCGAGGCCATACTAGAGACTAAACGATGTGAGGCTTTAAGTTGTTCACTGAATAGACTGCATACCCCTGGGTGTACTAATTGGAGCAGCGAGACAGGAAAGCCACTGGGAAGCCATCCGTAGTTGCATCAGCCAAAACATAATGGGAGTTGTTAGCCTAAAAACACGGAGAGAGATACTCAGGAGGAGATCGGAGCACTTATGGTCAGGTCCGATGTGCAATGAAGATGCTCTTTAAATGAACAATGAACAATGTCATAGTAATCATTTCAGGCTGGGTCCAGTGTGGAGTTCGTGTGCGCGCACACACACACACACACACACACACACACACACACACATCATCATCATCATCAAGTAGCAGGTCATTTACAGAACGTCGCTGCACGAAAGAAACCCAGTCTCTCACCAGCTCTCCCACTTCGTGCACTTTTCTACACAAGGTGTCATTTATATCCTGTGCCCATCTTCGTGCTGGTTGGCCCCTGCCCCTCATGCCTTCTGTTATTTTCATTTACAATCCCCTGTGGCGTTTGAAATGGCCAATATATTTCAGCTTTGGAGACCCACTGCTTTTTGATTGGAACTCTTCGCTTGCTGCCGAAGATGGGAACTGAGCACTTATGGGAGTGTCACCAGTGCTGTGATGTCGATTCTTAATTCAACTTTGAACATTTGGCTTGCTAATCTTTCTTATTGTTTCATGTCTTTTACAATGCCAGCACACTCGCACGCACACACGCGCGCGCACACACGCACACACATACACACGGATGGATATATATATCCGTTGCTGAGGTGTCCAGTTCTAATTCACAAGTATTGATATTTGTTTTATTTTTTTACCTGCAGTCCGGACAGCGTAGAATGGGCTTGTGCTGCGCCAACTGCAACACGACCACCACCACCTTGTGGAGACGGAATGGAGAAGGGGAACCTGTCTGTAACGCCTGCGGCTTGTACTACAAACTACATCAGGTGGGTTCACGTTCTTAAATGAATGAATGAATGAATAAATGAATGAATGAATGAATAAATGAATGAATGAATGAAAGGACTTCCCTACACCTTGGACATTCCTACACGTGCTCTGTTACCTTCTTCAGCAGCTAACGAAGAGTCGACACATGAGAGTTTCATTTGCAACCTGATGAAAAATCCAATCCTTAGTTTGAATATCTTCCAGAATATCTACTAACCCGCTTGTTAAATTAGTCTCTTCATGTACGGATTCTTTTTCTGTTCTATTGCACAGCCCATTTGATAACATAAAGCCTTCGTCAAGTCTGCTTTATCATAAATTAGCTCACTATCCAGATAAGCAGCAGAAGCTAGTTTATCAGCCTTCTCGTTACCTCACACACCTAAATGTTCTTGACATAAATTCCATAATATTCTCACGCTTTTGTGATAATATGGGAATTTTATTTAAAAAAAAAAAAAAAAAAAAAAAAAAAAAAAAACAAGTGAAATGGTTTGGCCATATAAGGCGCAGAGTCGTTGAGTCGAGATTTGATTTTTATGTTGTCTAGTGTGTCCTTCTATTTTTCTATGTCTTTTTACGAGTGCCGATCATGCATTGTCTGTTTGTTTATTGTATATATTCCTCTTAATACCGAACCATCCGTGTAGATAATCAGATCACCTAGGCGGGAATTATGATAAATCAACTGTTGAAACTTTCACCTCCGTAGCACCCGCTACAGCTATAGGGCAAGCCGTCTTCATTAATGATTGAAGCTTGACTAACGACTAGCTAACTATCTTTGTACAGGTGAATCGTCCGCTCTCCATGAAGAAAGACGGCATACAGACAAGAAAGAGGAAGCCAAAGTCGTCTTCAAAATCAAAGTCCGCTGCAAAAGATCAGCAAAACTCGCAGCAGATTCAGCAGCCGGGACAGCAGCACCAGCAGAGAAGTCAGCAACAACGCCAACAACAGCAGCAGCAAAGAAGCCAGCAGCAGCAGCAGCGTCAGCCTGACTTTCAGCAGCAGCCGCACAGCCACTACCTAGATTATGATTCGGCGCACATGCAGCAGCAGCTACATCACCAGCAGCATCATCAGCATCATCAGCAGCAGCACACTTCGCCGTCACTCATGCAGAACGACACCGTGGTCAACCAAGTGGTCAATGACGTCACCTCGCTACTTCCGGCACAAATGCCAAGGTCGCACGACTTACTGGACTTGACCTTGGCGGGAGCAAGAAATGGTCATGGTAAGTGCCTATCGATCTAGTCCAATTTGTATAAAGCTCATTTCTTTCGTGCTCTTTCTTTGCATTATATAGAGCACAAGTAAAGAATGAAGAATAAACTCCCCTGTTGTAATTGAAGCAACAGTAACAACTGTATCCAGCCTTTTTTTTCCCCAGTTGCGAAAAAACTTCCACCCCAAAGTTTACTCAACTGGCCCCTACACCATCTAGCTTATTCTGCATCATTTCACCATCAAGTGGTGCAGAACCGGCCAGTCTATCTGCCTCCTCATTTCCCAATACTCTGGCATAACCTGAAGAAAATATCCAAAGGATGATAACAACCCGGGATTTTTGAAGTGATACTTGTCACTCTGCACGGACACAGAGCATGCCTGTCTCCACCTTTCTCAACATGTTCTGTGAGTCAGTATGTTATTATTGTTGTTTCTAATTCACAAGTGTTTCATCCACTACAAGGCGTGTATCAACTACAGCAGTTGTTTTAAAGAACAAAAGTCTTATCCACAATTTTTTTTAAAATTTATCCACAAACGTTTTATCCATAAAATTGTTGTTGTGTAGCAGTTTCATCCACAACAGTTGTATCCTCCATTTTTTTTGTACTACGGTTATATCTAAAACAACACTTTTATCGACCACAGTTTTACCACAACAGTTTTTCCACACAGCATTTATTTCACAACAGTTTTACTCATGTCAACCATTTTATCCACAATAACAGGGGACTGCGTGGTCTCGATGCATGGTGTCTGCCTCGAGTGCTAGAGGATTCTGGTTTAATCCCCGGAGAGGGCTGGGATGTTTTTCACATGAGCTTTTAGTAATTTCCCCCTGGTCATATACAAAATCCCATGTCAGTTGGAAATCAAAAAGAGTAGCCTAACGGCGCTGCCGGGGCGAAATTTGAAATTACAAATCTACCAAAAGTATTTCAGGATCCTCGCCTGTGCTACAAAGCCTGTGCACTGTGCTGAGCTTCTTCGGAGTCAGACTTGAGTTAGAAGAAAAACGAAGCACTTATGGGTTACTACCCGTGCGCCATAACGTTTATACATTGTTCAAAACCTCAAAACCATCCACAATAACTAGAACACCCAAATCAAGTTTCATTCACAAGAGCGATTTTAGCCACAACCCCCCCCCCCCCCCCCCCCCTTTTTTTTTTTTTTACAGCCACGACATTTTTACTTCTCCCCACCCCCCTCTCCTATTTGTTGTTGTTGTTGTTGTTGTTGTTGTTGTTTCGAAACGGAAAATAAAAAAGTTTGATTAACTTGTGTGTGATTTCAGTAACAGAACTTAAGCCACTGCCATCGTATTCGTCACTGTACAGCCACGGAGGACACATCACCGGCGGTCTTACCGGCAATGGTGACTCGACCATTGGAGGTCAATTGTCGACAGTTCAACAAAACGGATCAGCCGTGCTTGCTGTCCTTGGAGCTTCATCCGTGTCCAACACACCATCTCTTCTGCCCATCTCCAGCCTCACAAGTTCCGGTCATCAAATCCTAGCCAGCAGTGCTGCAACCAACCACCTTTCTCATCTAAATCCGACCATCATTTCCGAGGCGTCACCATCCATCATTGGACGCACGTTCTCCTTAGACAACATCATGCTGAAACAAGAACATGACGCGCTGTACGCACCCTCGCCGCCAAAAGCAGTCCCCGTTATTGCATCAGACATCCCCAATGAAGCAGACGGTTCAGTGCAAGGGCTGTTCAAAAGTGAGATCATTCAACTGAAGTCCGTGGCAACTAGTCATTGAGAATGTTTCCCCCATCTAAATAAAAGAACCCTTTCCCACGCCTTAAGCCGTATAGGGCATATAGGGCTAGACCTATATTTTTGTAGACCAATCGGCGCAAGATGGGTGATGTGGTCAACATCACACCGGCCGCCTTTACTTCCCAGGACCGCATCCGGTACCCACTCAAGGCTGGGTCATCTAAATAACAGCTATATTGAAAAATATTAGTTAGAAAATCCATCCGAGACCTCTGTCTAAGAAAAGCAACGTGGTGCCCTGACAAAGATTATGTTGGGATGGACTAAATGTCGCTACCATTAAAGAGACACAGTTTATCTTAGACCAGGTGAATAAGAACACAACATTCACCTTGGCAATGACACTGTCATCGCATAGATTTAAAGCCTGATATATATATATATATATATATATATATATATATATATATATATATATATATATATATATATATATATAATTATTGTGTTTGAAAATATCTTTTAAAACGAGAATATGTAATATAGATGATTATTTAAACCACTGTTGACATTATATCTTGTCTGTGTATGTTAGTATGTTGTACATAATTATAATGTACGGTACGAAAATATTAGGTGATGTAGGCAATGTTGTGTATTGTATTCGCATAAAATGTCAAAAACCATAAGTTTTTGTGCGAAATACGTCGCTCTGTTATTGTAATGTTTTAGTGGGAAATAGTTATAAATGATGTTTTAGTGGGAAATAGTTATAAATGATGTTTTAGTGGGAAATAGTTATAAATGATGTTTTAGTAAAAACAGAAGTGTCACGCTTTTGAAGAATTCTGCAACATGATATCTCTTCTAAACAGATAAATGACATTACTGTATTTTTATACAATGTCAAAAAGTTAGGTGGTTCAATCTTATAACCCCATGTAGCCTACTACAAACATGCATCCTAAGATACAAAAGAAAACATATATATATATATATATATATATATATTATATATATATATATATATATATATATATATATATATATAGTACATTTGAAATCCAGTAAGTGAAAACCTTGTGAGGAGAACTCATCGATGACAAGGTTTATCTTATCAGAAATCGAGATAAAACACATTACTACTACTATTCGGAGATAAGCAAACAAACTGACATTGCTTCGCAAACACATTGTGAAGTTCTAATATTAATTCTATCTAAAACACTGATCGAACTACCAGACCTATGTTGTTTTTCCTTAAAGGTCACCACAGCAATTTTACCTGCACATCCGATTTTATGCGGTCAAATCTGCAGTTTTTTCATCCTTTATACACTCAGACAGAATGATTGTGAACAAACATTTTCACAAAACGAGATTTCACAGTAAAACAGCTAGGGAAATTACGATTACATATAGAGTGCAGACCGCTTAAGGTGATCTCGGGTGTGGTGAATTGTGAAGAACAATTTGTTTATCCACAGCAGTTTTTCTTGATTGACTTTTTATCTGGATTTCTGATAAGAAGAACCTTGTCACCGATGAGTTCTCCTTATCAGGTTTGCACTGTATTGGATTTCAAATGTACCAAATATCATTTGAAGAGAACTGAATTTTGCAACTACAGATACAAGATCTCAGTTATGCCAATACAGTGCAGGTATTGTGAGCTGTCTACAGATGCAAACTTTAAGCTGTAAGCAGTTACTTCTTTATCGGGTATAATGTTACATAGCTTTTGAAAGTGTAACTATAGATACCATGTGTGCACTGTACTCAGTTACAGGATTGCAGCTGTGCTAATGCTAGATTGCTACTGAAAGTGCAACTACGCATAGAATGTCTCAACTGGTTTAATGTAAAACCCTTACGAGAATGTGCAACTACAAATATACGAGGTTTAAAGAATACTAGTATAATACTGCATGCAAGTAGGGATGTAAAATAACGAGACTATGTTATTAACTGTTATTATCTCTGTTGAGATGTACATTAATTGTGTATTTTTGTATGTTAATTTGTTGGATATTCTTTTTCTTTTTTTTTTAAATCCTATGAAGTTGTAAGTAATAATGAAATAAGATTTGCAAGCGGTGATCAGGGTAGACACAATATATTACAGGTGTCTAGATTCAATACCGTAAATCTTGTAAGGTAGACTCATTTTAAACTGATTCACTGTCATGTACCAACTCTAATTTGTCCTGTTATCACAATGTAGACTCCTTCTTGAACTCCATAGATGTTCCCTGAGATTGGCGTCATTCGTTTTGCGACACTACATGGGAACCATTGCTGGAGCTAAGAAGTTGTTTGTGCGACGCTCTTGGCAGGCGGCTAACCATTCTGCACAGAAAGGTCGAGCCATTTGGGATTTGAAAAAAAAAAAATAACTTGGTGCAGTGAAGTCAATCCTCTTAAACAAATTGAAAGAGAAAGAAAAAAAAAAAGAAAAAAAAATAATAATAATAGCACCAGTATACATTAATTCTACGTAATACAGGTAACAGTGGACTTTACTTCATTCCATCACTGTTATGTATAGAAGCCACTTAGCCTATAAGTGACATACGTTGAATATTCTCAGTTTACATAACTGCTATATACAATGTCCACAGCATATTAACATCACACACACACACACACACACACACACACGCAAACACACAAGCAAACACACACACACATACCCATAAAATCAAACAGAATATTCATGTGACATACAGACACTTACATTTTATGTTTTACTATATCGATTATTTTCTCTCTCTCTCTCTCTCTCTCTCTCTCTCTCTCTCTCTCTCTCTCTCTTTCTCTGTGTGTGTGTGTCTCTCTCTCACACATACACACACGTATATACATACATATATATATATATATATATATATATATATATATATATATATATATATATATGCACCCATACAATAAAACATAAGATACAAATATATAAATATTCACGTGATATACAGTCACATGTATTTTATGTTTTATAATATAGATTTGTTCTCTCTCTCTCTCTCTCTCTCTCTCTCTCTCTCTCTCTCTCTCTCTCTCTCTCTCTCTCCCACACACACACACGCGCACGCCCACACCTCATCAGTACCATCACCAGCCTATACCACTACAATAAACATCACTACCTTACCCTTTCTCAAGTTCCCACCCTAGAAAAACATAGACGGAGAATCTCTGAGGTCGTAGAAACATTATATATAATAATCTAACAGACATGCATGAATCGACCCTCATAAAAAGAAGTAGAAATATAGACGGACACGCAAGAAAACATAAGATTATTATTACCATGGTGGGAATCGAACCTATCACTTCCAAATTTTGACAGTGCCTCGCTGCAGCAACAAGCGTACTCAGACCAACTAGACACCTGCACTAGAAAGTGTAGATTATATCTGAGTGACACTCACTTCAACTTCAATGGGCATTTCATTTAGTCAAGTCTGTCCACTAAGCGTCTATGAGGGCTTATCAGTCCGTGTAAATGTTTCGTGCCATTTCAGTTCTTCAAAGTTTCCCAACAGTAGACATGTTTGCATATAACGTTAGCTAAGGCATAATTATGGAGAAATTCCATGTGTCTTTAACTGTATGTTGTAGATTATGGTTTATATTTGGCATTATGTCACACGGGTTGACTGGTGCAGATTCTTTGGTTGTAGTTCCTACTGAGACTGCGCAACAGCTATTAAATCCGATATACTGGCGCTCAGGTGCCCAAGTCCTACACATGGCTTGGCTTGCATATTTCAAAGGGAGTTTGGTGCATAGACTGTTTCCCTGACCCTATAATAAAGTACTACCTCTACAATTAGTAACGGCCAAGTGATTCATCATTTTGCTTCTCGCTCTGAAGTTCGGGCTGCCTTTAACTACTAGCCAAACAAAGAAGACCATTGTTTTAGCAATGCCATTGGCATAGCTGGGCACTCGAGAATTCCCACACATGCGTGCATACTGAGTGACGTAAAGAATATGCTCTGACCAGCTTCTACTGACAAGAAGACATTAAATGCATCACGAATAATTCACATAACCTTTATCTTTGTGCCGGGCCATGCCGGGTTCCAGGCAACGATTATCTGGCAAGCCAGGCGGTCGTTATGACTAACCTGAAAAGGACTGAAGAGATGTCATTTATGCCATGCGAGATGAATATCGCCAAGAAGATCACAACAGAAAGCAAGTCTCACTATCCTTGTCCAGGTTAGTGGTTTTGGGAGTGCAGCCTGGAGCAGACAAACATGAGAATTTCATTTAGGACACAAGGCGTTTGAATGTTGAACACATAACGTGCGTAATCAATTGTTTTACTCTTCTGGAGCTACTGAGGAGGAAATCGGAGTTCTTCTTAATCTGTCTGGGGTGCTGTGATCGCAGTCCAAGATAATCATCAAGTATTGGGTTTCAGACTATGTCGCTCAGTTTACTAATGCTTGTGACTCCTAGAGTCGATCGCAGAGCTATGGAGTTTGTATCTTCTATAACGCTGTAGGATGGCCACCAGGCGCTCCGAAGAGAAAATCAGAAAAAATACGGGATTTAATGCTTTTGCCACGAAGCCGTTCCTTTCGCCGTAACTCCTACGGAAACTTTATGGCAGAGTTCTCTCCCCCATCACCACGTGCAGAACTGATTGCAGGTTTGCACGGTCCACGCATGAAGATCAGATCTACATAGAAGCATCTTATAATGTAGACAGGTCGTGATCCAGCATACCTTAGAAAGTTTGGACCCGTGCAACATCTAGCTTGTCAAGGATTAATTCACCACAAAGTGGTGCAGAACAAGCCAATCTGTATATCTGTTCGTTTTCTAATACACCGGCATAACCCGAGAGGATAAGAGGGAAAGTGAATGTTCCTGATGCCTGTGACTTTTGCTGTCGTGTATTTAATACACCATATTATTGTGTCCTGTTCTGTGATTTCATTATTACATCTTATTACTTTTCATTTTAATGTAGTGTATGTAATATGCAAAAATTTGATGTATGATTGATATGTTTCCAATGTAGCA